AGTTATGAGATTATTATTAATCTTATATAAATTCATCCTGTTGCTTACAGATTAGCTGAATAATTATTAATCTTATAAGAATTAATAATAAGATATTAACTATAAACTAATATTAATCTAATTTTTTAATTTATTAAGATCTATGCAACGGAACAGTAAAATAAATTATTATTAATTAAAATTTATTTTAAGAGATTCAACTGTGTAATCAAATTATTCTATTATTATTATATTTTATCTTTTATTAGTACTTACAGAGATAGCTAGTGAGATAATTATATAAGAAATTATTATTCTATAGTCTTACAAGATATAATTAATAAGATTCTTAAAATTATCATTACTGTATGCTTTAGCTAATTAATTAAATATTATTAATTTTTATTACAGAAGTATATAAAGAATTATATCTATAAATTATATTATATCCTTCAGAAAAGACCCACATTATCTAATAAAATAAATATTCTATTATAATTTTCCCGATTCTTAATATGTCTGGAATTTGAAATAATATTTTACTTTATATTTATTATATAATATTTGAAAATAATAAATATCTTTAGTATTTATTAATTAGATTCAAAGCTTTCTTAGTAACTAATATTTTTAATTATTATTATATTAGAGGATATCTGTGCGAAATATTAGATTATAATTGATATTCAATAAACTTTACTGTTTTTATATTCTATTTATCTCATAATACTAATTTATTCAGCAATAAAAATAAAATTGATAGTAATTAACTTAGTACAGCTAGCAGAGATAATTTATTAGTAGAATATGTATATTCTTACCTGTGGTCTTATTATCTGTAATAATTATTCTTAATCTTAATATATATATGTAAGTATACTGAGTAATCAAAATAAATGTGTATATTAAATTCTTATTTATTAGATACAGTCTGATCTATCTGGCCAGATAATATATTGTTATATTTATTATTTTTACATTTTATATTATAGAACTCGATTAATTATTTTATATATAAAATCTTTAGATAACAATCCTTTAATTAAATATTAATTTTGCTTTTAATCTATCAGGAAAGAGCTATTTAAAGTATTCATAAATCAAAAATTAATCTAGTTTACTATTTTTAATTACTAATTTTATAAGAAAAATATTTATCTTAAATCTCTAATATGTATATATACACAGTAGTTCTAATTTTTCAGTTTTTATATATTTGATGTATATAATGTATATAGAAAATTAAGAGATCTTCCAGAAGACAGTATCTGATAATAAAGTTTTCAAAGATATTTAAATAATATATACTTTATCAAATTACTAGAACTTTCAATATGATATTTTATTTAATTTTGAAGATCTGTCTTTATATTATATATTTTATTTTATTTTTTAATGAATTATTAAAGATAACTGTTTACAGATACTAGTATTATAATTGTATCAAATATTTTATAATATAACTAACAGCTAATTATAAGAAAGAATTATAAAAGTTAATATTCCTATTTGTAAAGACTTGAAATAAACCTTAAATTCTAAATAAAAATCATATAAATTTATTTAATTTTAAAGTTAATAATTTTATAATAAGCTTCTTACATGGAGCCTGCTGTACATATAACTTATAAATAAAAAAATATTTAAACAGGATTAATAATTTAAGATTTTTTCAAATTTATACAGATATTAACAGCTATGAAGATAATATCAATATAATAATAATTATAAATTTTTCTACTGTCAACCGCCTTATAGGCTTTCATATAATATATAGAATATATAAAGATATTAATTAGTATTAGTATATTCCTAGCTCTTATATTTATATTTTATATATTAAATTAATAACTCTGGTCATGATTTTTCTTATAATATAAAATTCTTTATTTCTAGAAATATATAAAGTTATTTTTATTAATAACTAGATTATTGTCTAGATTTGTACTTATTTTTTTAGCTGTTATTAATTAAGTAACATATTCTATAGATATTATTATAAGACTTGACTGCTTTTAATATCTTATCTGAAAAGTACTTTTCTCATAAGCTTTTATTATAAAGAGATTTCTTGTACTAAGTACACTGATCATCTTACTAAAAGTAATATTTAATAAGCTAATCCTTCTCTCAGTATATTATATAAATTTTAAACTTTAATTAATAACATATAAAAAATCTAGTAAATAAAAAATCTATATAATGTTTTATATATAAAGAATCTTCAAAAATCTATTTTCAAGATATTAGTCCCACATGCAAGTATATATTAAATATAAAATCTTTTTTTAATAAAAATTGGAATTAGAAAAATTACTTTCAAAATATTATTAAACTTATAGAATTATAAGAATAACTAGATATTTATACAGTATTGAAGAAAATCCAGTTTAATATATTATATTTTTAGATATATAATACTCAGGTGTACATAGAAGTATTTATATATTCTATAAATAATTATTACTAAATATTAAAGATTACATCTACTAGTCTAGCCCGTGAAATAATATGATTTATTATTATAGAATTAATCTTAGACTAATTCAGGGTCCCACTAAACAAGATACTAGGAAAATGAAATAATAATATTTTTACTTTTTATAGAATAATAATAAATTATCTTTCTACAAAATTATAGTATTATTGAATAATATTTCTATTTTTTATATATTTATTTTAAAAATGATATTCTCTCTGCCGGCCATACAGAGCATACCATAATAAAAGTATTCTTGTAAATTAATTAATATCATAACTAAACACGTCTTATATTCTCCTGATAATAAGTAGATTTAATAATAAGGTTTTAGAAATTATATATATATAAATTAAAATTAATATCCCCAGATCTACATAAGAATGTTAAGGTAAATAAATATAAAAGATCTTAAACAATGAAAAGTAATTCATATATATAGATATTATATAATCTTAAATATAAATAATCTTATTAATATAATAGAATAATCTACCTATCAGAAGTAACATTATCAGGATAATATATTATAATAATTATAATGATTATAAGATTATTAATGGCAGTTCTATATCTTCCTGATATCTATAAGATACTGATTCCTTTACTTCTAGAAGTCTACTAATTCCTTAAAAAATCAGTCTCTTTTATAGATATAGGCTACCTTTGTAATTATCAAAGAATTCTATGAGATTTAATAGCTAATTTCTTATCTAGTTAACACTTTAATTTTAATAAGTGAATTTTATTATATTCTGATCTTTCTCTTTTAATTACTTAAGAAAAATATTACTATATTAAAATAGTAAAATGTCAGAGTTAATCAGTAATTAAATTAATATAAAATTATTATTGAATACTATTCCTACTATTAAAGAGTATAATAACCTAGAAAATATAATTATCAACTAAAGTAGGCTAATGATTTACAATAAAGGATAAATCATTTCTAAAAAATTATCCTTGTAGTAAAATTTTATTACAATATTTCTAGTTATTCTCTAAATCAGATAAAGAAAAAAAGAAATTAAATTTACTAATATTTCTTGCTTTAGATTAAGCTTTAATCTTTAAAAGTATCAGGAATAGATTACTGATCTAGAATATAAATTTTAAAAAGTTTTTAAGAAAAATTTATCACAGAACAAGATTATTATTATGATTAATTATATAGATCTAGTATACAGATATAGATTATACTATTTTATTAATAATAAAATGCCAGACGAAAAACAATTTTCTAAAAAATAATAATTTTAATTTAAAGATTAGATCCTTACCTTGATTAGAGATATTATGATATTATAATTAAATATTATAGCTCAGTTTAAATAAATATATTAATAATATAACCAGAACCTGAGAGAGTTTTAAATCTATTCTAATATCTTAAAATAATACTTTTTCTGTTAAGCTGAGGAAGAAAAAGTTTTATTTCATTTTATTAAGCTTTTTCTAGATCTAAATTATTATATTTAGAAATATATTCTACATCTGCCCGAGGAACAAGAGAAAATAGTAATTATTATTATTTATTATTATAAATTCTGGAATAAGAGGGATAAATATAAATAAAAATAAATTAATATAATTATTACAAGTCATGAGAAGAATTTTAAAATTTTAATTATAAATTGATTCTAGACAATGTCTTCAATCATAAGAAAGATTTTAAAAATAAATAGTAATTAATTATATTATTTTATATATAAAAATATTTGATATCTTGCAGATTATTATTCTATTAAAAATAAAAAAAATTTAATTTATTAAAGTCTACTTATTCCTCTCAGATTTAGAGAGAAAAGTAAAAAGTCAAAATAATTTTTATAATTTTAATTTTTTCATTTTTAAAAAAAGATTATTTATTTATTTTATATTTCTATTCATATTTAAAATGATCTTGAAATCTTTATAGACCTTAACAATGATATTAAACTAATTATTATCAGTTAAAAATTTATTATAATATACTATTTCTAACATGCTCTAGTTATTATTCCTAAAATTAAAATTATTAATCAAGTCTTAATTTCTATTTATAATATATAAAGTATTTCTATTACTACTACTGATTTATAAGAGAGTATCTGTATTTTAAAATAATATTATATAAAAATTAATATAGTCTCCTGACTTGAAAAATGTCTAATTCTATAATTAATACTTTATTTTTAGAATTTATATATCAACTTATCGCTCTGTAATTACTAGTAATAGTTAATATTATTTATTTTATTTTTCTATTATCTAATTTACTAGAGCAATTTAAAATCAAGTTATAATATATATTATTATCAGATTTTCTGAAAACATTTAATTATTATTTATCTTTAAATCCTGAACTAATACTAATCAAATTTGAGAATTCTAAAATATATTTTTTATAAATTTATCTAATAATTACTATTCTATGGCCCTGTGGATTATGCTATTAATTTTAAAATTAATAGAATATTTTTATATAATTTAATATATTTTCTCTCGGAGACTAAGTTTAAGATCTTAGAAAATTATATTAATAATAATATTAAATTAAAAATATATTTATTTTTTTAAACGCTCCGCTAGGGCTCCTATTCTATTTACTTTTAAGAAAAATAATAATTTATACTTCTATAAAGATTATAAGAGTCTTAATAAGATTTTTGTGAAGAATTATTATTCTCTATCTCTGATTTTAGAAATCTTAGATAGGATTTCTGGTAATGAATATCTTTTTAAATATAATATTAATAATGTCTATTACTGAATCTATATTAAAAAATAATATTCTATATAAAATATAGCTATTTTAAATATAGAGTTATACTATTTAAATTAATAAATACTCCGGTAATCTTTAAATATCATATATATATTATATATATAAACTTTTTAATAACTTCTACATATTATATGTAAATAATGTTTTTATTATATATTTAAATAAAAAGTCCCATATAAAATATATTTATTAAATATAAGAAAGACTTTAGAAGACTTAACTCTATAATAAATTATTTCTTATTAGTCTCATGTTGAATTCCTAGGATATAATAATAATAATAATAATCATAATAATAAAGTAATAATCATAATAATAATAATAATAATCATAATAATAATAATAATAATAGTAATAATAGTAATAATAGTAATAATAATAATAATAATAATAGTAATAATAGTAATAATAGTAATAATAATAATAATAATAATAATAATAATATAATCATAGGTTTTTAATAATAAATAATATTGTTTTATAACTAATTTGTAAAAGCTATTATAATATTTAAGTTTTTCTAGGATTTTGCAATTTTTATTAATAATTTATCAAGAATTATTATTATATTATATTATTTTTTATTTTTCTATTTTGTAGAGTAGTTAATAGAAAACCAGAAGAAATCTTTTTAAATTTATATAAGAAAATTACTTTACTTTCTATTATTTAATTATTATGTTTTAATAAGTATCTTTTTTAATATATTTTAATTTTATAAAGTCTTATTTAGAGACTGATGCTTCCAAGAAAGAAAGAAATAAAATTCTTATTTTAATTCAACAATGAAGATATATTTCATCTAATTATTTTCTAGTTATATAAGTTCTCTGATACTAAGTTAAATTATAATACTTTAGATTAAGAGCTGTTTATTTTTATTTGTTTTTTTAAATAATAATGATAGTATCTCGAAGGTGTTTTTCAAAACTATTAAAGTCATATTTAAGTATTCTAACTTATAATTCTTTACATATTAGATTAAAAATAAATATTAATAAAAGATAAACTTAATAAACTATATTTTTATTTTTCTTTGATTTTATTATTAAATATAAAATAAAAGAATCTAATTTAGTAGATAAATCTTCTAAAATATTTGTAAAAATTAAAATATAATCTGCTTTATAAGAAAAGCTTTTAATTTCAATTTAAATAATATTTTACAAGTACATTGTCTCTGATGATTAGGGATATAATTGAAGAAAAACCCTAATTTAAATCTCAAGATATGCAGGGTTATTTTAGATTTAATATTTATATAATGTTTTAAAAAACATTAATAATCAAGCTAGTATAGAGATAACTGACTAAACTATCTAGGAAACTCTATTTTAAAAAAGATTTATTTCCTAATTCACAGCATCATGTGTGTATATTATAGAAGTTTTTTATCTAAATATATATAATTGTAAGCTCTAGAAGATAATCTTATATTTATAAAATGATAATAAAAAGCTATTATTAAATAAGATTAGTCATGTTAAAAGAACTAGAGTATTAAGTTTAAAAATTATATTTATTTTAATTATTTTTATATATTGTTTTCAGAGACTTATATTAGATGCTTATTCATTTATATTATAAGTATTTTTTAGCAGGATACTTCAGAAAAATCTCAATAGAGATATTATCATATAAGAAATGTTATCAGAATAAAGTATATTATAATATAATTTAATATATCTGAACTTGCTTAATATATTAAAAATTTAATGTTTTACAATATTACTTATATAATGAGTTAAAATTTTTACTGATATTTTCTTATCTAATTAGAGAACTTTTGATAGGTTTATTATTAGATTATCTCTAGTTATCTAATATAGAAACACTGTCAATATTATTCTTATTATTCTTAATTAATTTTTAAAATATTATCTTTTTTTATCATTCTATTAATGATTACAGCTCCAGATCTTACTGAACTATTTTATAGATAATGTGATCAGACAATGAAGCGGCGCGACAACGAGCCGGCGCAGTGATCCCTAACACTGAAAACAAGCCACCTTTCTGCCTATCATATTACAATAAACACTTTAAATTAGTGATTAAACACTATACAAATGACTTATATACAAAGAAAGTAGATGTTGACTTTATCTAGATACCTAAGATAATTAGATTCTTCTTTATTATAATTACTGCAGTATAGTAGCTGATGTAAACTATTTTTTATTTATATGATCTTAATATTCTTTTCCTCAGTAATATAACATACAGTAAAGTTATTTAACATATTTTTTTATAAAAAATATTTTTTAGTCTTCTTATTCTTTTTATATTAATTTATAATATAAAGTTGATTTAATTTCTGTTGAAGTAGTATAGTATTTTATATTACTATTTTTATATTTTTATATATATATTTTTGAAGTGCTTGATTAGTAATAAGTAATAATAATCTAATTTGCTATAGTATTTTAATCTCTGCTTTTTTATAGTTCAGTTAATAAAAATTAAAGATATTTTACTAAAATATATAGATTAATTAGATAATAATATTAAAGATAGTAGAGATATTAGATTTAAATTTCTGAGATTTTAAAGTATTTTTTAAGAATTATATAAAGAAAGCCCTGTTACAGTAGAATCTTATTTTATATTTATTATATTAAAAATCTTTATATATATCTTTTTAAAACAATATAAGAAGTTTTTCTATATATAATATATATTTTAATTAGTTATATGTTTGATTTAATAGCTGTACAGAATTTTCAATAGTATAAATAAAAAATATCAAGTACTTAAAGTTTATGGAAAGAATAAAATAATATATATAAAAAATTAAATGATTTTTCTTTATAATATTAATTAAATTGAATAGTTAAATAGCTTGCATGGATATTAAGAATAAGAAAATAATATTAATCTATTATTTTTAAATTTATATATATATATTAAAATATTAAAGCCAGTTAAATATAAGTTTATTATTTACTTATCTATTATTATCAAATATTGATTCATTAGTTATTGAAAATAGTTTTAAATTGTTTTTCTTACTATATCTTACCTATTAAAATAATTAAAAAAAAATACTTTCTATAGTATTAATTATAATAATTTGGATATAGGCTATTTTTATTATTATTAGATAAATCTATAATATTCAATAGCTGATTTCTTATCTAGTTAACAGACTTTCTACTCTGATAAATTAGTTATATTACATTTATTTATTCTAGCAGTAGTCTAGACAATTAATATTCTTTACTACTTAACCATAAGACTAATATAGGTATATATAGATACATTGAATTGATTAAATAATCGATAAACTCCTAATTTTACTTTTTAGTATTTAAAAATATTATTTTTAATTATAACTTTTGTACAGATAATCTAATCAAAAACCTGATTATTATAAAATTATTGATATTAATAATTATAAAAACTAATTAGAATCTAATCCAGTTTATACATATGATATTAATTGATATAATAATTTAATAATATTTATTTAGCTTATATTAATACCTTAAGAATTAATTATATTAATATTTATTTTCAAAAAAACATTAATATTTTTATATGTATAATAATATATTTATATCTAGAGTCTTGATCTAGAGAGTAGTTATATTTATTTAAGATATTTATAATATATATAATTTAAAATATATTGTTTTATAAAATTATTTGTTTCTGATTCTGTAGTCTCAAATCATAATAATTTATCAAATCAATAAATTTATACCTAAGAGACTAAATTAATATATAAATTAGTATATGTATATATCTAGATTTCTTAAGTAGAAGCTCTTGCTATGACAGGATTCTATAAATATCTATAAACAGAATTAAATATTAGTATTAATGTTCTTAATATATTTTTTTTATATTTTTAAATATGTATCATATGGGGATTGGTACAAGAATTTACTTCATTATTACTTATAGAATTCTGATATCAAAATTATAAATATAATAGAGTCTCGGCTTTTCAATATTAAAATCAATCTTATTAATCTAATCTAATTAAATATATCATGAATATATACTTACATCATTAATCTTTATAAGATAATTTACAAATCCTACTTAGATTAATATTATTATTAATTGTATAAATATAGTTATAATATTCAGAGATTTTAGAAAACAACCTTCAAACCCATATTTATTCAAAATGTTTCCCTGAAGAGTATAAAAATTATTAATAATATTTAATATGGTATTTGCTTGGAAATATATTTTTTTTATATAAATAGATTTAGAAGTATATAAATTCTTTAGTAGATTTTCATAATATTATAGCCACATTATAATAAAAAATACTGAAAAAATAATTGAGATAATTGAGAATAATAATTATATATATTTATGAGATTTCTTGATATTTAAAACTATTGGTGGGCGTATATTTACAGATTATTAGTTCTTCAATGATAATATTTACTGGGTTGTACGAGCAGGAAGATATTAATTAATATAGATTTATATACAAATTTCCTTCAATCAACTATGAATAAATATAAATTAGTCTATTAATCAATATCTATAGTTATTAATTAATAAAGAATCTATGAGATATATTTTATTATTCATATAATATATATTTTAATTTATATAATAACTTATAAGAGCTTCTTATATACATTATTTTCCCAAAGATTATTCTTAAAGTTAAATATATATATATATTAATGTTCATAGTGTAACATCTAGAAATATTAAAATACTATTAAAATAATATAAAACTTGGTAAAGATTAGCTGCCGGAGTAATAAGAATCTTAAAATCAATGAAAATAATAAAACCAATATTAGTAATATATCTTTTACTAAATTATAAATATTTATTAGTAGTAATATACTATTAAATATTTCTAATATAAGACAGGCCTTGTAAGCAATATTATACTCGGTTTCAAAATATTTATTCAAGTAAGAATAGATATTACAATAATATAAATTATAAAACATATCTGATTGAATCTATTCCTATATTACATAATATATTATTTTATATTATTT